TGTATAATTGAAATTAATAGACACTCTCTTACTGAATGAAAAACGTACCTTTTAAAAACAATCAAACTGGTAATCAAGTTAAAATTCAGCATTTATGAAACTATTCACATGTAGCCCTTGCATACTTAGCTCCCGCTCCCAAGCTGTTAAGCAGACATACTGTACAAACCAAGGATTACTTGCTTTATAGTGCTTATATCGGTAGTCGTATCATTTAGGCACTGACATTTTTCATGTGTATAAATGCTTAATTTCTATAGTCGTGACTTGTTAAGACCCTAAGTTCATTCTTTTTTTTGGTCTGTGTACACAAAGTATTTACTTATTTATTTGGTCACATTTCCAGACATTTGCAAAAACAGAAAAAGTAAACATTTCAGTGTACTGTTGCTAGTTAAAGGACCACAGGAGCAACATTAATGACTATGTATGTGAAAATTTTCCAGTCCTACCCACCTGGAAATAAGCCATCAAGGACCTGTCCTACAGCGCAAATATTACATTCCTTAATCGTCGCCCAAAAGGCAAACAAGGGCACTGTGTATTTCTAGCTGCGCTGAAAGCAAACAGAAGTCTATCAGACAACCTGGCGGATCTGTGCTGGTAAAACCCAGCTTAAAAACGTTAATTTGTGTAAGGTGCTGATTGGAATATATTTTTAGTTCCCACAAACTCAGGTTACAATTCCGTATTCCTTTACAGGCAAAGATATTGACTTCAGCCCAGGACAGGAAAGGTTGCATTCTTCAAAGGAAGCTGTAAAGCCCTGGTCATTTATAAAGCTAGTATGAACAGATAACATGCTTTTTTTTTTCTTCATAGCTTGCTTTATTTTCTGAAATACTCATTGTTAATAGTAATAAAAATGTTTGGCTTCAATTTTAAAACTGCAAGGATATTTCTGAATAGATTACTGCTATCCAATTCCTTTTTTTGCACCATAGTTCTCATCACTATGACCCTCTTTGTACATTCTCAGAAATGCTTGAGGGCTAAACTGGACAGAAAAATGAAGTGATTGCCATCCCTGAATGCTAAGTTACTAAGGGGATCTGGAGCTGTACTTGCTTTGCTCACATATAAAGTACGAAGTGACCTTTTTTATAAGAGCTGCTTTTATGGATCAGTTTAAAAAAGTAGCAGGCCCCACAGTGCAGGACCACAAACATTGGGGTCCCTTGAAGGATCTAGATTGGAATCGCTGTTTTCAGATCAATGATCTGAAGTCAGAGGTGTCCAGTTTGGGTGTTAAGTTTTGACGATACCAATTTCTTTTTTTAAAGGGACAGAAGAGTTTCACAAATGAGGGAAAAGTCATTAGAGTGACAAATGTAGTTCAATGTAGATATAAAGTAGTGCCCACTCAGCAAAAAGTCCTTACCATATATATTTGCAGATAAGTATATATGGTAAGGACTTTATCCTTACCATATATCCATCCACGGATAAGCCAACCCTCAAATTTTTAACCAAAATTCCATGAAAAATGTGTTATCCACAGATAAGCTAAGCCTCAAAATGTTTGTATGTTTTAATTTTCACAATTGGCTTGTCCTTTATACTTTAAAAAAGTATTACCTTATATACTCATGGATAAACCTGTCCATGGATAAGCCAAACACAATTTTTGGGGTCTATTTTGGCACCTAAAATTCTCAGTTTATCCACGAGTATGTACACTACTTTAGATTTATATTGATGGGATCTTAGCTGTTAATGACTCTCCAGGAAATGGATCTTGGGTAGTTAAGTGTACATGTAAATCCATGTAATGTAAAAAAAATTATGTGTTGCATTATTAGGAAAGGAATTAAAAATAAAATGCTTGTTCATATCTCTTGTACGAACACTAGTGTATGATCTCTGTCTTTGCATCTCAAAAAGGATATTGTGAAGTTGGAGAAGATGCAGAAAGGGACAACCAAGGGGAATTAGTGAGGTGGCTCCCTTATTTTTAATATCCTTTTATTCTTTGTTTTATTTTGCTTTTTGTATTTTAATGTATTTATTGATTGTTTTTAGCTTTGTTGTACACCTCCCAGAGTCACCTGTGGTGAGATGGGCAGCTATATAAATTGGTTTAATAAATAAATAAGTAAGATAAATTCATCCATCAGGGAAAAAAAATTAAAAAGAGAATTGTATTAATGAATAAGAATATACATGAACAAAACAAAAAAAAATAGAAAGTTTATTAAAAGTGGGAATAATTAGACTTAAACAAATAAACAAACTAGGGGCCAAGGAGGATAATGTGAAAATAGAATTACATTAGCTACTGTGCAAGACCATTCTTCTGGATTTGTGCTGAAAATATTCTCTACAGATGCAGTTACCTCTACGTGCCAAACCACACAATAGGAAGGAAACAGAGCCACCCCTGTTGCCCCTAGTGGGTCTAAGTAACATTCAAATTATGTGAGTCAGGCATATTCCCATACAGCAATTAAGAGTCATGGACAAAAAGCCCCTAATTTGAACCTGATGTCTGCTAATGTGGCCTAGCAAGCTGTTTTCTTTTACTGGGGGAGTAAGCAACACAATAATGATGATCATGATGATGATGATGATAGCATATCATGTAGGATTATGATGACATCAAGAAAGTTTCTATGAACCTCTAAGTATTTGTTTTACAGGAAAAGGTCACAAAAGACAGATTCCCAAGACTTTGTCAGAGGATGATTGCTTTATACTTTGAGATCTGTGGTTTTAGAATATGATGTAGATACTGATAACGTTCCATGGGAAACCCATTTTCCCCCCTTTAGATGACTAAGCTGAACAATGAATGTCATTTCAAAATAATACCCAAATGCAATCTCTTGTTCCCACACATTCTTTGACCTGCTAAGCTACAGAGTTGGCACCTAACCAGTTTAAAAAGCAAATGTAAAAGTCAGACCCAAGCGGAGGGAATGTTTCAGTGGCTTCATCTACCTCAATATTTCTCACCCTCAGCAACTTTAAGATGCATGGACTTCTAGTCCCAGAATTCCCCAGCCAGCAGGAGTTGAAATCCACACATTTTAAAGTTGCCAAGGTTGAAAAAAACTAATCTTCCTGGATTAGGCTTCCTTTCCATACTAGTGTACTAAAGCCTAAGACTGAAAGTAATCCAAAATCAACGCAGAATTACATCTATGTAGATTCTTTGTGATCTTTGAGAGTTCAGCTTTATATGCCCAGCTCAGTGATGCCTACCCAACATTGGCAGACCTTAAAAAGTTAAGTTGAACCTGGCTAGGACTTGGGGGACCACGAGGAAATGCCAGGACTGTAGGCTAACCTGGGAAGTTTAAAAACAAAACAAAACAGAAGAAGACAGAAGCAAGCCATTCTCATTTTCTTACCAAGAAAACTAGATGGATATGTCCTTGAAGTTAGGAGTATTTGGAGGAGCGGTATGGGACAATGAAAATTTTAGTGTGTTCTTGCTTTAAGAAATACAGAGTATAAATATAAAGAAATGGTTATGTTGTAGGATTCTTTGGAGCATTTAGGGGCAAAGCAATAGGATATTAAATATGTTAAATAAATACAAATATTGGAGTGTGTGATAACTTATAAAGCAACCTTTATTCCTAGAACTCATTTGCCCAATATGGATGTGATCCAGCCTTCAAGTTAATGCTGCCCAGGTTATTCCTGTTGTGGAATACCTGAATTTGACTCATCAGTTAGAGCTTTGAAGCAACTCTCCTTTCTATGGAGAACATTATTGCCTCACTCAGTAATATATCTGCTATATAGCCGCGCTTTCATAGGAATTCACTCCCATCCAAAGCAGACTGTCTCCCTGAGAAAGGGACCACATATCCTCAGGGCCTTTGTCTCACTGGGATTCAATTTCAGCCGGTGACCATCATTCAGTCCATTACTATGTTTAGGTGCTGGTCTCTCCTGATTCAGTTGATACTGAGGAATAACAATCAGTATGCTGTAATCCCCATCTCCTAATGATCAGCTTCAGTGGCTTCCTTTAAAAGCTAACCAGCATTGGACTATATTTCTGTGCTGTGCCTCCAAATGACAATGCCATTCCAAAAAGATACTGTAGTCACTACTTCCAAAAACAGTGAGAGATCCAGGAGGACCCACAGATTTGTGTTTTACAAGGAGAGAAGTAAGGAAAGCACAAGGCTGATCTAATCCCCTTATCTGCCTTAAATGCAGCCTGGAACGGATCCAGATAATCAGTTTCATCCAGAACGATAGAAGAGTTCAGAACTTTTTAAGAACATTCCCCAAGTTGATAGATTGGCTGCTTTGCACCAGACTCCAGTATAGATGACTGTATAACAATGGTCTCTTTTCCATATCATTTGAAAGAATTCTTCTTCTATCATTGTGATTAGGAAAGGAACTGATATCTATCTCCAACCTGACCTCTCCATATGCAAAAGTTTAAGGAGGAGGGTATTTGGGGGATAAATAAAAGCCGTTTTAGGAGGAAGTCACTTAATAGGAGGAGTATGTGAGGAAATAGAGAATCCAAGGAAAAAGAGAGGGAACCTTTAATTCTTAAAAAAAAAAAAAGCCTTACAGATATAACTATAGATGTAGGTACAGTTTAGTTTCACATACAGAGGCCAGAGAATCCTAGTCCTATCAATTTGTGAAAATTCTGATCCTCTCTGCTTTAAAGAAAAAAAAAAACATTTGGACCATGGATTGCAAAAAAACTGTCCATTGCTCTGTTTCATATATAGATTTTGAACTTTAAATGCCCCATTAGGCATGAATAATTCACTTGCTCTCACAGTCCATCTGACTAAATGTTGGAAGCTTCTTTTTTGACACCATTTACTTATGCATTTGATATGGAAATTATTAATTATTATAATTTATTCCATTTATTATGGTCATCCACTCTAGAAGACTTTGGAGGGCTTACAGTATCCAGAAATGCGTGTGTGTGTGTGTGTGTGAGAGAGAGAGAGAGAGAGAGAGAGAGAGAGAGAATATTTGAATATATTTATCTATTTTTCCCCCCAAAGGGAGCTGAAAGACAAAATTGAAAAAGAAAACACAAAGCGGGAGTTTTTGACCAATCAATCCCACCTCAATGAAACACTCTGTATCCACTGTCTGCAGCCCTTTAAGTTCCTGTTAAACAGCAAATACCAGTGCTTGGACTGTCACTTGTATGTATGTAAAAGTTGCAGCCAGTACAACAAAAAGGAGCAAGGTTGGATGTGTGATCCGTGCCGCCTCTCTAGGTAAGTGGGCTAGGTAAGAGTTTGGTCCTCTCCTGCTCTCTGGCTATAGTTCAGACTGGACATTAAAGGCAAACTTTCTTGAATGTTTAATTTCTCATGAAGCGTGGCCTTCATGACTTCGCTAGTCTTACAAAGAATATTGCATTTAGCTTGGTTAGTTTTTGTTCATTTGAATCTACGTCCTGTTAATAATACTGTATATCCAGAACTGAGTAGACACAGGCTTCTGCTCCTGGTCATGAGAGAAAAAGGATGAATCATGTTGTGATGTTGCACTGCAAACCATAGCCTTTCATCTTTGTGGCCCAGTGCTGGATGCAAGTATGTAAGTCACAGGGTTTGTGTCACGCTGTCCCAAAGTGTGTTTTATCACTTGTCACCCCTACTCCCTGTGGACACCTATGAGGGTAGAAATTGGAGGGAAGTAGGGATTGGAAGAGAGAAAGAGGCTGATACAGACTTTTTCCATTGTTAAAAGAAGTGGACACTAAAACTATAATTATCCGAGAGATGCAACATATCTGGATATTCCTTGGGTGTTTATGGTAACCTTTGTAAGTAGATTATGCTGAGAGAGAGTGATTCCTGCAAAGATGGCAATAAATTGAGACCCCAAGGAAACCTTTTTTCTTCCTCCTCTCTAGCTCCATGTATGCACCTAAAAACGAAGTAACTTGAAGCTGCTTTCTTTCATGTTCTCAGGATATGAGAGTTTGATCATCTTTCTAGATGGGCAAATATTTAACACTATGTTTAACATGTTAAAAGAAAATATGTATAATACAGTATTTTAAAAACTTAAATGTGCAAAGATAAGAGTTGAACATTGCCCATGTTTGATTTATTAAAATTCTGAAATAATAAAGGGGGAAACTTAAAAAAAACAACTAGTTTTTCATGGATTTTCTACTGTTGCTTATGGCCGCTACTTCTGCCTCTTCTGTTCTACTTTAGCAGCCATTTTCTCTTTGTTTCTTACTTCCTTGACCATCAGGTACTAACAGTACTAAGTAACTAGTCAGACTTACCCTAATTCCTGCAGCAAAATCAGTGCCGTGGGTATGTTTTTATATAGCTCATATGGATAATCCTCATCAGTTAAGGACTATTCCATGTCTGAAGGGTCACCAAATGAGGGGCACCATTTAAAACTTTTCTAAACAAAGACTCCTTCATTTTGACTCAATATTATATTATCTGTATTTCAAAACTAAAGGCAATTTTAATTTCAAAACTAAAGGCAATCTTTCCCTGGAATATACTTTTGGGAAAATACAACCTTACACTCCCATTCATACACAGATAACTCATGCATAGAAGAAAAAGTTTAACCTTGATATATGTACATTGAGCCAAACATCTGAAGAAAAATGTGAGTAATTGGTTCTGTAAAGAGGTTCCTTTTCACATAACACTCAACATGTGAATGTTGGTATTGGAACAAGTCCAGCAACAGGACCCTGGTTTTCCTCTGTAGATGACTGAACATGGGTAATGTATTGACAGAGCTTGTGTTTATTAGTTATATTGAAAGCATGATCATTCCCTAGAATATTTTCAATCTTCCTCACTGAAGCCAGTGGGAATATTTTAACTGATGGAAAGTTTGGAAGAATCCATGCTGGCTAATGTGCGTACTGTCTCTCATCTCTTGGGCAGGATTGTCAAGACTGGATCTCTGGAATGGTATTATGAACATATAAGAACTCGTTTCAAGCATTTTGGAAGTGCTAAGGTGATGCGATCTCTCTATGGAAGGATGTCGCGTGGACAGCAAATGACTCCTACTTTGCTGGGTATGGGCAGAGGTCTTGGTGAGATCTTCTCAGTAACTTTCTTTAGAGTGCTTGGAAGATTCTACAAACCACTGGATACCGAATTAACAGTTACTACACATCACTATAATTATCTCTGAATAACCGCAGTCTGTTTCCACAGATTACATTACTCCCAAGCCAAAGAATGTGGTTTTCCAGCTGGCTTGATCCCCATCAACTTTGTTTTAGAAAATTAATCACCACTGGGGAATGGTTTGGAAAAAGTGAATTGCAGTGAGCTATTTGATAGTTACTTAATTTTAAAATTAGGGGATATCCATTTGAAAGTAAAGAAATATTATTTTAAAGATAGTAACGTGAAAAATTTGAAAGAATAAGTTATTGTTTGCAACAGTGAAAATGGCAAGCAATTGTTTAGGGGTCTCTAATATTTTACAGCATCCAGCCTTAGTGTTAAGAGCCAGGAGAGATAATGTACAGTTATTATGTAATATAATGTGACTGTCTTGGGTGCTTCAAATGAAGCTTTGTGACACAGTCAAACTGCCTCCAGTACAATAATTAAAGGTCTCTGTTTATGAGTTTCCAGTATTTACCATCACCTATTTCCCCTGCTGTACGCATATAAAATCTGTTCTTTTGATTAGTAGAACTAGGAAAGTTCTCTTCTAAAGCATCACTGATGTTCTTGTCTAGCATCCTTTTTCTCAGTGACCACAGAATAAGCACCAGAAATAATACAACTGAAAATTGTATCAAAAATATATTTGATTGATAAGCAGGAGTTTCCAATCAACAACACTGCAAAGCATAAAAGTTATCACTATTATGCTATGCTTTCTTATTCAAGTGAAGCATGTTTCTGTTGTAAATATAATGACAGTCATAAGGGCTGAATGGTGCTTCAGATGCCAAGGGAAGAAAGTGCTTCAGAGAACATGGTGGTGCACATTTAACACCTTTAACAACTTTCCTCTAAATTGCACAGTAGCCCTTCATAGATGCAGCACGGTCCCAGGTTGAAGGAATTGATTATAGGTCTGTGCACTCAAAAGCGTGTTTTCGTTTGAATCCAAAGTATTGCACAGCCCAACTGACAACATATTTTAAATGTATGGTTTTAGAACTGGAAATGCCACATTGCTTTACAGATAAGCAGGGCTTAAACTGAGTTTTTTAAAAAAGATGACAGGGATATGACACTATCAGTAAGCACTATCTAGTACTATGGAGTTGGATTAGAGTCCATTTACTCTTCATATTATATACTTCACAAACACTAGAAGAATTCTGCTGGTATAGAAGCTTTAAGGATTTGTACCGTTTTTTGTTTAAGTAGCCACAAGAGAATTGTCATGCATCCCACATAGTTTTCAGTCTGTGAACCGCTGTACAAGCATTGGGGGAATATTGCATGTGGTTGTTTTCTTTCCATTTATGGCTCTTTGGAGCCAACTCAGAATTTCATTCTCTTAGTCAGAACATACTGACTTTCTGCTGTTTTCTTGGGACACACTAACCTCCAGTGTCTTTCCACTAACACGTTCTCCAGCATGGCCAAAGTTCTCCCAAGGCTACATATTTGTGTTTAGTTAACATCCTATTTCTTGTTTGTTTATCTGCTTGCTTGTTGTATTCGTCAGCTCTCATGCTGCAGGTAAGCTTCTGTGTAACGAACGTTCTCATAGTTTTTGGACACCATTTATTTTACTGTATATAGTTTTATATATCTGTGCTTCTCAGAAACTCTAACATGAATTAGAATAAAAATATAAAGAGTATTTATGATTTGGCAATACCAGTACTAGGGAAACCAACATGTCACAAAAAATAAGCTTTTGAGTTCTTTAGAATTCTTTAGTAGGCTGAATATTAAGAGATTTGGGACTACAGAAAAAAATAAAAAGTATGATCTGGAAATTGCAGATTCGAAATATTGAATCTTTTGATGGGAGGGGTGCATACATATTTTACTAACTGAATGAATGAATGAACAAATAAATAACTAAACATTACCTGGTATAGACTCTGTAAGGTTTCAAGCTAAGACAGAATATGTAAACCCATATGCAGGCATGAGGCTGCTTAAACTGGCCCACCTCCACTGTCCTGTACCTTCTCCCTCTTTTAGTCTCTGTATTAACAAGGATCAGCATTCAGGTCTAGTAAGATGCTCTACTTTAATTCACCTGAATACAGGTGGAACACTTTATGGTCAAGGTCAGAAATAGACAAGCACACAGACACCTTTCTATATGGTTGAAACTGGTGAAAAAAATTATACCTAGCCAAAAGATGGCAGTGTTGGAAAGTGTTACCACTTTCTGAAGGAAACATTAGCTGTTCTCCACCTGAGAACTAATACTTGGAAATTTTTGGTTGAGGAAGTTCAGCTAAAATTCAACATAGTATTCTGATTTGGGGTAGCTTTACAGCTGTATCTTTCATGGTATACTTCTTAAAAATGACTTCACAATAACGTTATGTAACAATTTTGAAACATTGGAATAATCGTAGAATTATTAAAGAATAGGTACTTCTTTAGTTGACTGATTGCAATAGCCTCTCAGCCTAAAGATGTGCTGCTCCTGTCCTTCCTGGAATTGCCAGTCAGCAAAACCAATAGTCGGGCCAGGGGGATTATAACTAGTTTTTTGAATAATGAATTAGTTGAGTTAGATTATTAACAAAACACCCTCTGAATTTAGCATGCTGTCTTGGTTATGAGAGAATATTGAGCAAGACAAACAAGATAAATCAGTGTTTTTCAAACTTGGCAACTTGAAGATGGGCGGACTTCAACTCCCAGAATTCTCCAGCCAGCATGCTGGCTGAGGAATTCTGAGAGTTGAAGTCCACACATTTTCAAGTTGCCAAGTTTGAAAAACTCTGAGATAAGTATATTCTGTCCTTTTGTCATTCTGATAATTTATTATGTGCATTATATTTGTGCTAAGTCAACAGGCTTTAAGAAAGGCCGGGACAATTACGTGAGAGTGTATAGGGGAGTCACCCTCATGCCAGCACAACCTTCATTATATTGGTGTAGAGACAACAATCCCTGCCCATTCACCAGTGGAATACAGTGATGCCCCTCTGATGCTCCAAGCGAGAACACTGCAGCTGTTTTGCCACATTCTTTTAACTACTTGGCTTGTAGGCCATCTTGTAGATATGCAAAAGGACTGTTACTTTCTTTTGCTTTTGTTGATTAGCTATGAACTCTGAAAGAGGTAATTAGTCTTTGATTCTATATCATGTTTACTGTAAAGTCTGATTTAAAATAGCTTAAATTCTCTTACTCTAGGTCCTCGTGGCAGAGTATATAGCTTGCCAGATGTCACCAGTAAGTTGCTTTTTTTCAAAATCATTTACAAATCCTTTAGACCCTGAAATGTTGCAGATTTCAAACATTCTTTTATGTGCATATGAAATATAAGAGAGTCCATACTGTAAGCAGGAATGCACTCATTCAAAAGAAAGAAACAGAAATGTGCGTCTGATTTTGATGGCCTGAGCAGAAGTGGGACAAAAACTGTAACATTGCCTTTGAGTTGATGATTTACATGGACACATCTGTGCAGTTTTCTTGGTATGATGCAGAAGTGGTTTGCCATTGCTTTCTTCCAAGATGTTTTTTCAATAGCTTGCTAATGCAAAACAGGAGTTTTACAGCTTTGGGGCACTCTGAAAGGGAAAACAGTGCTCTTTTAAGAAAGTAGCTTCTGCCAGGATGGGAAAGCAGTCTGAGGTATTAGGCCAAAGGGGCCATTCCATTCACAACATCTGAAGTATGGAATATTGATTCCTTGATTGGGATTGCTCCATGTGTTTGTTCTTAATTTCTCATTGTGTCCATCATAAACAACTGCTCTCTAAGCGGTAATTGCACCATTACCTGTTGGTTTTGAGATCTGATTTATGTTTTATGTGGTCTTGTTTTATTTTTAATTGTTTCACCTTCCTTTCAGTTTAGTTTAAGCAAACGATTGATTTCATTTTTCTCCCGTTTTTTCTCCATTCTGCACCTTCTCTCCTTCATTAAATCTCTTCCTTTCTCTTAATCGCTCATTCCTCCCTGCCCCCAAAGCAGCCCCATCATATTATTTGGGAATCAGTTTCCTTTCTTGGAGACCCTTTCCTTTACCCAAAAACATTCTACCCATGTATCTGAAATTGGCTGCAGTAGTTTCCCATAGGAAGAACATCTGTGGTTGAAAATATGATTAAATTCTGTCCTCAAACAGCCTAGGTACAGGCACTTTCTGTTCAAATGATCAGAAGTCAGAGAAGTATAGCTCAAAATTCCTAGACATATTTCAATGAATTTTGGCAGGCCACATCCCCTCATGCATTTTAATGTGCCTGAGAAAAATCCAAGTCTATTATAAGATAAAATTTAGAGCTGTTTATGTTGTTCCGTACTTGCCAAGGGAACAAAAAAAGGCCCAATTTCTGAATCTCATTTTGGATTTAGGCAGTGTCTCAGAGTAGACTGCCCCCAGTTGAACCGTGATCAAATTGAGGCAAGCCTCTGAATGGAATCCTATGGTCTGTCTGTAGTTCTATAAAGTTCACACACATTCACCAGAAGTGGTCAGGGAGTTACAGATACAATCACTCTGACCTTAAGGGATGTCATGTTTCTTTCTCCTGGTAAGGTGCAACATTAACATGGTTAATTTTAGGTGATAAGGTGCAACATTAACATTTAACATTAAATACAGTCCATAAACAGTCATTCTCTAATATAACCAGTGGCCATGGATATCATGTATCAATAGTATCATCATGAGATGTCAAGGGCCTCTTTGTGGGTAGAGTTTAATGAATACTCACAAGATGTGGTGCAACCCAGAAAGCCTCTTATGATGATTATAGTGGTCTGGCTAATATATATGGAAGAAGGTGGTATCTCAGGTATCCTGCCTTCCAAGTTGCTTAGACTCCTCAACCTAACTAGCCAGCAGCAAGGACAGTTCTTTCAACAGTGGCATTAAATGAGAATAGCTAGGCACATACATTTTTCACTAGCTGTAGCTTGCAGAGTAATTGTAAGAAAGCCCTGCATGGGCCAGATTACAGTAACTGAGAAGTGAAGTTACCAGTGGGGATGAAGATACAGCAATATCAGTTTCTAAATCAACTAAATCAGTGAAATGAGGATGGCAGCAGTTGAACCTGATATCTTCTGGAATGTAAAACCTGTGGTCTGCCGCTGAGCTGTAGCCCCTCTCCAGTTGTATGGTAGGTATCTGATCAACATATGATGGTTTGCATATATGTATGTGTCTTTCTTATCCAGGTGGTTATCACCTGTACAGGAATGATGAGAGTGAGGAGGGGGAGACCAGTGATGATATAGATGGAGCAGAAGCTGAACATTATGCCAGGGTAAGGATAATTCAGGCACCTTTTTTCCATGCATGTTTTACATAATATGGGGCTTATATAATGATTTCTCCCTGTCCTTTGGTCCGTCCTTCTTTCTCTCTCTCTCTCTCTCTCTCTCAGGAAAGGTGCTTCTTCTACTGTAGCTTTCTGACACTAATCTCTTTTGCTTTTGAGCAGTTTAAACAGAGCCCTAGTGACTTGGATATACTTCCAGAAATCTGAATTGTCAGGGAAGGATTCTAATTTCCACTCTTTTTCTTTCTGTCATTAATAAAAGTAAGTCTCCACGTTGGGCTCAACTCCTGGTGATTTCGTGCCCATGCCCATGTCCATGTCCATGAGATTGTCTTAGCAACAATATGGAGGTGCTTTTCTATTGCCTTCTTTCAGTCTAGATTTGATTTCTGAGTCTAGTTTACAGCCCTGTTATTCCCTGGTAGTCTCACATCCAGATATTAACAAGACTTCTCCCAACTTAATCTTTGATTCCAGACAAGATCGGCCAGGTAGAAACACCTGTGGAGGCCTGATGAAGATGATGAATATTCTGGCTTTCTGCACAGAAGGCATTAGAGCTACTAAAATATAAAGAAAATAATTAAGCATTTTGCCATTCTATAAATTGCTGAGACTAAGTGTGCAAAAGCCTGCCATGTTATTAAATTCCTGATCTCTGTTGAGTGAATCTTTGTACCTAATCACAATAACATGGCCTCTCCCAGATAAATGGGTGATAAAATTGCAGATAAGTCAATGAGAGTAGGAAAATATTGCATTAATGGTATTGTTCTGAAGACCCCTTGTCCTCTAGAGTCACTTTTCATTATAGCAACACTAATTTTAAAAATGGTTCTTGCAAAGTTGGCTAGAAGCTAACAAATCATAAAAATTGTTGGACTGGACAAGATATTTAAGAGAAGACTTTAAGAGATAAATTATCTTTAAAAGTTATTTAAGAGAATATCTTTGCTCTTCCCCCCATACCCTATATACTCATAAGTGTCACAGAGAACTCTGGCCTGTCCATATGAATTTTTATGTGGCAGAAGCTAAGAAAACTGGACCTGTCATAGCAAGATGAGACATTCTTAGCAAACTTACAGATGTGAGGCCCTCTGGTAGCTGAAGTAAGCAAATTAAGTTTTTTTAATGAGAATGCCCACCTCTGGGACCCCATCAGGTGACAATCCTGTAAGGATATGGAGGGAGGTGGCCATATTTGATCTGGTTGAATAGGTAAATAAATACAGAAAAAGGCAGTCTAGACCCATGTAAGGGCCATAACAGTGATAACCAGTACCTTGAATCACCCCAGAAATCAACAGGTAACCAGTGAATCTCCCAAAGCAGTAGGGCCATCTGAGACTGTCTGAATCTGGACCACTCATTCTGTACCAGATGTAACTTCGAGATGTTCTTCAAGGGGAGCTCCATGTACAGTTTGTTACATTCGTTCAGTAGGAGGTGACTGGAGCAAGAGTGACTGTAAGTGGGCCATGTGGATATAGGAAAGGTTGCAGTTAGTGCACAAGATGTGCAAAAGCCCTTCTAGCCATGAGTGCCATCTTCTCCTCAACCAGGAGTATGAGTATTATGAGCCATTTCTGAGTGGGGGAATAGGATCCTGTTCAGAATTAAAGATGGAATTTCCCTTCAGCCAAAAACCCAAAGCCACTCGTTTGTAGGGCTTCAGTCAAAGGCTTTTCCTGTCCATTCGGACCCTAACAGCCTCCAGGCACTGGGTCAGTGCTTCTACCTCATCAACTGTTTGGCCTGGACAAGGTGCATAACTGAGTATTGTCAGCAAATTGATAAGATCATACTCCGTGCCAGTAGACCTCACTCTCTGGCTTCATATAGATGTTAAAAAGGTGTGGAGAAAGGAGAGATCAAAGTAGAAGTCTTAAGGTAGGCCTCTCCCACCATCACAAACTGAAGCTGACCCTTCAGGAAGAAGGAGAACAACTGCAAAACAGTACCTTCCAACTCCAGGTCCTTGGATACAGTCCATAAGGATACCACAGTCAGTGATATCAAAAGCCACTGGGAGATCAGAGAGGGTTTCCACTTCCCCAATCCTGGTCTCTCTGAAGGTCATCTACAAGCATGAGCAGTCCAGTTTCTGTGCTGTATTCTGGCCTGAACCCTGATTGCCAAGGGCTGGACATCATCAGAGAAATGGCATTGTGCTGCCTACCCTCAGGAGGGATGCTATCCTTTATTGAAGATCGTGTGAAATCCAGTCCTTTGTATTTGCAATGACATTTGGAATCTTTCACTTTTGTGCTTTCTAAGATGCGCAAGACAAAGCGCCTACTTTCTGTCCATCCCTTTGATTTTGAAACTGACTCAGAATATTCTGCCCAATCTCGCCGTCAATCTGTGCAGCTTTCTTCGGGTCCTGGGAAAGAAGGCTTTCAGGTATTAGGGATCTTCTGGTGGTGGTGGTGGTGGTGGGAATTTTTGATTCTTTTTCTTTCAGTTTCTTCTCCATTCATTGACCTTCGCTAGTCCGATGTGTAGCCTAAGAATTTTTAATCTGAGAAATATACTGTATTAAAACTAAAGCTGTTGAAAATGTATGAGATGTCTGGGGCTCTTGGCTTTTTTTTTTTTTTTTACAATCAAAATGGCCCACGCACTCAGCAATGTCGGTCTCTTGGCAGAAGCTGTATCTTCTTCACAGCACCTCCTGGAATGACCATTGGGTAAAAAAACTTGATTAGATTTATATCCATACCTCCCTTCTATGAATCAGTGATATGGCAGACTTTAATTCTTACAGAAAGTGGAAATAAAGCTTGGTAGAATTAAGTTAGCACATACTCTTAACCCTCCATTTTTGAGTGCACATTTCATGAACAATATAGGAGTTAAGCATTCATTCATGCCTAATTCCTGCTGACGTACATAGGTCAGTGAGTGGGCTTTCATTCTGCATCAGAGGAAATGTTGGGAAGTACTCATTCGACTCGAGGAAAACTTCCCTTGCTGGAATTTATTACAAGGCAGCAAAGTCAGATAACCAGAAATATCTTGCTCATTTCTCATAGGATCATAGACATGTAAATTTCTGGAAAAACATTTAACATGTCTGTTCCTTTTTTTTTTTTTTTTGCTTCTTTTTTATTCTTCACAAATATGGTACCAGGAATTAAGTATTACAATTGCATAAAATTCTGAGAAAAAGAAAAGCTTAGCCATCTATGATTTAGGCCAAGTAATTGTTTTTAGACCCTTTCATGATGTAAGAACATAACTTGGGTTTGGGGCTTCTTATGTCAGAGCTTGCTGCCTTTGGCCTCTTGGATGGGTTCAGTTCTGCTATAGTTTCAGAGTGTATGTAGACCAGGGTGGAATTTCTGTCATATATAAGAAATGTGGCTTGAGAGCAGGCTCTTTCAGCTTTTAAAGTAATCCTTACCAATTTCAGTGAATTTGCCCAGGTCTATGCCCAGTGAAAATGCATTCATACATTTTTGGCCCACGAGGCTTATTACACCACAACTGATTAAAGTTAGATTATAATGCCCTTGGATTTAAGAAGTTGTTGGAAAAGAAAAGTCCTTAGTGTGCAAATGAGAGAACATACAGCCTGCTTATTAATACTGAGCAATGACCCTTGTTCTTAGAGCACTGAAGATTTTCCAAATGGCGAGGAAGCCTCTTTGCAGAAGGACTCAATGGTAGCTGAAGCAGACTTGGCTGCTGCCTTCCATCATATCTTGCAAGAGCAGGGACGGCACACATCTCTTCCAGAACAGGAATTCAGCACAGAAGTCCAGTTTGCAGGCAACCCGCATACCAAAAACCTGGAAAGAATCCCGAAGGCTGGTAGGTGCTTCCGGCATTAGAGGCAGTCTTAAATGCAGCTTCTAAGGAAATGTTTACTTAACAATGTGTCTTGTATTCTCAGGACAACTGAAGGGTTACAGGTCAGACTTGCAAAAATGTATCATCTTCTGTTTACATGCAAAGATCTTATATTTCATTCATTATTCAGGGAAAGAACAGATGTCCCAGCAAACCATTAACAGTTTCCTTCAGAACCTTTCCAGCAAAATAAAAACTGGCATATAACTGACTAATTGAAAAGTTTTAAAATTCCAGATACTTCTTAATTAGAATTTATTATCTATTATGTCAGAACAATTGGCTAAAACAGAAGACAGAAGGCGTTTCTTCAAGACTCAGAAGTGGTTTATGATGGAGCTGAGAAATAGCAAATAGAAAGATGCAAGATGCTAAAAGGGTGAACTAAATAGAGGAAAAATACAAACACAACTCTCAAGAGAGATTCACACATATAATGTATATCATATGCATATATATGAAAGAACATTTGGTTTCAAAACTCCAATTATAAGTGATCCATTTAGTCCAATTATAAGTGATCCATTTAGTTGCCAGTTTACTGCATAATTCGACCTCAATAATTTATGGAAGGGAAATAAATTAACTACCTACAGCCAGTCAACTGCAGCTCTTCACGTCACAACTAATATTGCCACTCAGTCTCTTTTAGCCTAACCTATTTCCCAGGGTTGTGGTTGGAGGGACAGATAGGAAGAGCGAATGTTATATATGCCACCTTGAGCTCCTGGACAGAATTTAAATCTAAATCCTGAATGTAAAAAAAATTAAGCTAATCCAATCCAAAAAAGAATTTGAATGTTCTGTGTGTGAAGAAGGAATTCAAATCCTTCTTCCCTGGCTGAGGGACACTTGCTGCCCAATTTTGAGTTTCCCTGTGTGCTGTTAGCACTCCTAGCTCTGTTCAGGGGGTCCAGATCTTCAGAAATGATGAGCTTGCTACCAGTTCTGTTCCTGGCAACAATTCTGCAACTTGCAGGATAGCTGTCTGAAGTTGGGAAAATTCTCTTCCCCGGTTTTCCAGGTTTCAGCAGGCTTTCCTGCTGAAAAGAGTCTCGCTCAGCCCCTTGCGCTTTTAACTGCAAGTGGGAAATGGATGCCTGAATAGCATACTAATGTACATCCAAGTGCATGACAAAGGCAGAGGGTGAAAAATAATTTGCTTGCATAGACTTACATTGTTGGTTTCATGTGCTACATCCTAGAATGGGACAGAAATATTTTATTTTCACATTGATGACTGCAGCACAGAGTTTTAGGGGATTACATTTTCTGTGAAATGTTGTGTACAATGGATTACAATCTAGTTACGTTTCAAGTCTTTGCTGCATCAGAGGGTTCAGTGCTATAAATATCTAGGAAATGAAATTATCAGAAACTAAGTTATCCCTAATGTTGTTTCTCGTAACAAGGTGACAAACACTGGGAAGCGCGTGAGCAGTGATCAGCCATCTGCTTTTCCTCAGGTTGCAAATAATGTATTTTTAATTTGCTGTAGGTTTTGTCATCCTGCAGGTGATTCGGATGACTGAGATGATGAAAACTAGCTACAAACCAGGGTTAGGAAACAGCTCCAGAACTTCTGACTTTCTAACAAAAGCTTTCCAGTTTAGTTACAGAGATTGTAAAGATATTTGCAGTTACTTGTATGGAGGTGCAGTGTTTGGAGACCCAGGCACAGATTGCTAGGATGGTTCACGTCAATCTGCTCTAAACTGCTGCCTCGTATCGTAGGATATTTGAGAAGCAGAACAGGGAAGGAAGAAGCGGCAGCTCTAAAGTTGGGCATGTGGTTTGCGTGCTGCATAGAACTGATGTTGCCCCTTGTGCCTTCTGCACCTACCTTAGATGGGCCAGGGATCAAGCTCAGTAAAAGACAGCTTCATATATTCAAAATCTCCTTAAGACTGGAGATGTGTCCTTAATTGCATGGTACTTTAAGATTCATGCTTTCAGACATGCCAAATAAATAAATCACCGCAGAGTCCCCTGTGAATACAGTTAAGCATAAATGGCCTTTCAGAATTCTCCATCAAGTTTATAGGCACAGAAAGGAGGTGGAGGATTGCTCCAAATTTCTTCTGGGAAAGAAGCTCTTGAGTGCAGAATTCTGTTAATGGTGAAAATGTCATGGGTGCGGAAACTGTTTGCTTATGATTTCTTCCCTTTGAATGTCATTGAAGCATGGGAAGCTGGGAAACCTGCAGACAAATAAAAAGAGATGATTATACAATAAAAGGTAGGATATTCACATACACACAAACACCTTGGCCACCCTCTGATTAAATAACAACCCCAGATTCCACCCAGGAATATTTCTCTAAAACTTTCTTCTTTTTTTTCAAAGAATTTCTGAAGCAAATTCTTTTGGATTATGCTAAATAAGTACTGGTAGGGGAAAATTCAGATTTTTTTTTTACTACTCCAGAGAGTGGGAAAAAACCCCCTGCTTTTTCATATCCTTTGTGATATCCATAATAACTTACTTGCACAGGGAAGAAATTATCCATCAGCAACTGTTACTGTTGTTTTGGAACCTATTGTTATGCCAAACTTGGGGCTGGGTCTGTTTTAAGTACAAACTCTTCCCTTACTCAGCCAACACACAGTGTACCTGTCAGTTCCTCCTGCCTTCTTGGAATCCCCCTCTTAAGTATCTTACATTTACTGTGGTTTTGTCAGGCAGCCCATATGCCATTACTTTAACCTCTGAATAAATTATCGGTTGGGCTACCTATATTTACCACTGATATCCATCAGTGGACCACACTCTGAAATTGCCTTTTTGGGTTACCCCATTTGACAGCTGGGCTTATCAGTCACTTCTTCCTTCCATGAGTATCTCCTCCCAAACATATTGCATTTATTTGATCTACATCTCTGTTCTTTTTTTCATTCTCTCAAACACAGCCATGCTGCAAGCCTGCAGAACATACCCCTTTGAACTGTCTGCATAAAATTTAAGAATCACACCAAATTTAATTATTTGTTGCTTAACTTAGCTGATTAACAAATAACAATATTGAGCATTTGAAGTTTGGGAAATAATTGCAAAGCTAGTGTCTTAAGGGAAGAAAAAGGAAAAGGGGAGGAGAGAGGGAGGAAGGGCACAAGGAAAAGTCTCAAAAGGTGTTTCTGAGTGGTAGGAGTTTCTGCATTCTAATCTTAGGTTCTCACTGTTGGCAATATCTCAGTCTCTCAGAGGCAGGGTCAGGTAGAAAAGAGGTGCTAAGGAAAGTGGGAACCAGTGGGGATAGCTTATGTCTTCTTCCTGTCCCTTTCCAAGCACCTGCCCTTTTCTAATTTAGCTGCCCAATACCTATTTCAAACTGGTTTCTCTCACTAGTCCTCTAGCTCTCTTCTCCATACGTAGAGTAACCTTTTGTCTTACTCGTTCAAAACTCATCCCTTTCCTATCTGTGCAGGTCATCTTTTTCTGACTCTGCAGTCATTTCTCATTTAGCAATTTCTTGCTTGATTTAGTTTGTGGTTAACTAGTATTCTGTTCTATACCTGCAAAATCTAAAGAAGGAAGAGGGGGTCAAGAAAATCCAGGGGCCTTATGTAAAATTACTGCATGTCAAAACAAAAAAAGATTTAGTGCTTCTGGCATTGCTTCTTTAGCTGTATATATCTCTATTATCCGCCATTTAATCTGCTTTCTTTGCTGACTTTTCCATTGCATTTATGCAATAAATACCTCCTTTGGTTTGGTCCTTAGAGGAACGACATCATTAACAATTCTTTAGATTACCCTGTCCCAACTTGTAGCATGCTATTCTGATCCAGCCCCCAAGTTTATTAATTTGGAAGAATGGTGTCTTCTTGACTTAATCACCATGTGCCCAGTCAAAAAATCTAATCTGAAAACTAGCTACAGATCAAGGAAGTAGATCTTGCTCTGCCTGTCATATTCATTTCCATTACCCAGTGTTGCCATTAATATTCGTGCCGACACTTAATTTAGAATTTGCGGGACAGATACCAAAGAATGAGAACACTAAGGGAGATGCCAGAACAGTAATAAATCTTGCAAAAAGGCTTATTAAGAAATCCCCCCTGAACATACTTAAGCATCAGAAGAATATGACCCCAGACAGCTGGGTGAGCCCAAATGGCAGGGAAGGGTTCTGGAACACAACCCACGAGGAAGCTGGGAAAAAGGGGCAAATCTTATAGACCTTTTTCCCCACTCCCCCGCCCTTTGGCATCTTCACCTCAGTTCTGGGATAACTAGCAAGGAGAGGAAGAGAGTACAAGAGAGTAAGCAGGCACACGATAGGGAATACACATTGAAAGAAATACACCTTAGTTCCCCTGTTTGCTGGCTGCTTAGGAGGCAGAGAAAGCCTTTAGGGTGATAGTGATTAGGGTCTTGCCAATTTCAGATGGCTTGTGAGGGTGCTAATCAACCAATTAAGGTCCCAGAGCTGAGCTTGTTAACCTGCCCTTAGCACCTTTTAAGGATGTGCTGGGCTGGGAAGAAAAGTGGTTGAGGAAGAGATCGCTTGTTTAAGCATCTCCCTCCTCTGCAAGGGGGGGAATTCTCTGAAGGGAGGAAAGGGAAAAAAATACAAAAATACAGGTCAGGCAGTCAGGCAACTCCAATCATACTCCTTTCACCAGTTCCTGACAGGAAATAGTCTTGCAAATTTTAGAACATTGCCTTTATTAATTATACTACAGTTTAAATTTATAGCTCAAAGCATATTTCTCTCCAGTCTCAGCATCTGTAATGGGTAAAAAGATTTTTTCTAAATTGCTTTATTTTTTTTATTTTTTAATGTGCCTTCAAGTAAGTGTTCACTCCTGGCAACTGCCTGGTCCAAGTCCCTGCAGTTTTCTTGGCAAGATTTTTGGACGTGGTTTGCTCTTGCCTCCTTCCTACGGCTGAGAAAGAGGGACTGGCCTGAAGTCACCCAGCTGGCTTTGTGTTTGATAGGCACCAAATATAATTTTCTCTTAATCTGCACCATACTTTGAGTTGTCCCTGTTGAAAAAAAAACAAACCTGAATCTCAAAGGGGTTACAATACCAGTTCAAGATAATTTTACGATATGGTATCTTAAAGTGCTTTGTCGATTTTTCCCCATTGTCCTCATTCCCCTCTTTTGCCTTAAATTCTTATGAAACAGAAAATGTTACTTGTGAATCAGGAATTATTGATATGATCCTCAAGTTATCCAACCCTCTTCTGTTCCCAAAGGCAGCCCATGGGATGTGCAGTCCCAACTCTCAGCTGAGCTGGACACTTCTGGTGAAAATGAAAAAGGGGCTCAAGAAAACTTTATTTATCTGCCACAATACACAAAACGCAGGAGCCAAGCATCATCGCAGAAAAACGTAGATCACTCTGGAAATCAGGTAAATTAGATATAGTGTACCGTCCTACCTATGTGTCAGATTTCTCTCTTTTACAAAGTTTGTTATAGAAACTATGCTACAACTCATTACATCAAAATGAAAGTACACCGAAGAACACCAAAGAAAAACACCCAGGTTAAAAAGCTAGGGAATAATAAAACAAAACACAGATGGCAGTAGAACAGATGAATATGAGATGCATGAAGAAACTTATTTTTGCTCTTCTGATTACACTAAGCCCACAACAAATTGTAAATAGCCCTTAAAAACTTGGGAGTATTGAACCCATCCCTTCAGCATATTAAAAAATTTAAATGCTAACCAGGAAGCAGCAGTTAGAAGGAAGTGTGGAAGAACTAATTGGTTCAAAGCTGGAAAAGGAGTGGATGAGATTGTATCCTCTATCCTGTTTAGTTTATATGCAGAACATACCTTGAGAAATGCTGGACTAGAAGAAACAGAAGTTGGAATTAAAATTGGAAAAAAGATTAACAACTTCAGATATGCTGATGAAATATTTTGGTGGCTGGAAATGGGAAAGATTTGAGGAACCTTTGTTGAAGGTGAAAGACAAGAGCACAAAAGCCAGTCTGATGCTCAGTATTAAAAAGAAAACCAACTTTGTCAACTAAGAGTGCCAGCTCAATGCAAATACTTGTAAAAGTAGTGGAAGTAGTAACAAATTTTATTTAACTGCATTCAAAAATCCAAAGGGAACATAACTGTAATCATGAAATAAAGTGATATCTACTGTATTTCTTGTTAGAAAGGTTGGAGAAATCTAGACAAAATAATGTGTAAAGATATTACAGTGCCAACAAAGATATGTATTACCATGATTGTTTTCTAAGCATGCTTGTTCAGTGATGTAGTTGTAAAGTGCAACTGTATCGCTTAGTGACGGCAATCTCTGCAGCCCCAGTTGCCGTCGTTAACCAAATCCCACAATTGTTAGGCAAGACAACTTCCTGCCGGCGTCCCACAACCAAAGTCAGTGGGGAAGTGGGCAGGAAGTTGCAAGTCCCAGGCCAGCAGGCAGGTAAGTGACTGCTGCTGGGCGGTGGAGGGAGTGAGGGGTGCGGGGGAGGGTCACCAAGGGTGCAAGGGAGGGTCGTGGAAGGTGTGAGGGGTGTACAAGAGGTGCGGATCAGGGAGGGTGCGCAAGGGTGAGCAAGAGTGCGAGGGAGGTGTGGCGAGGGTCAGGGAGGGTGCAAGGGGGCGCGTGAGTGGCCAGCACAGCACAAGCACAAAGGGGCTGGAGGTGGGTGTGTATTTGCAACCTTCCCTGCCGGCTTCCCCATTGACTTTCTGGGGAAGCCGGCAGGGAAGGTTGCAAATGGCAATCGCGTGTTTTAATGGTTTTAATTGTTGAGGTGGCTCGCTGCCTAGAGTCACTTGGATTGAGATGAGCAGCTATAGAAATTGCATAAATAAAGAAAACTGGTCATAAGTGTGAACCAGCTGCCAAGTGTCCAGATCACGATCACGTGACACAGGGTTGCTGGGATGGCCAGAACTCCGAGGACCAGTTTTAACCACAATTTGTTCAGCGCCATCGTAACTTCGAGAGGTCACTAAATGAATGGTCGTAGGTTGAGGGCTACCTGTACAAAAATTCATTAATTAATTGGTTGACTAAAGCCCAGGCCATTGTTCAGGGATAGTCCTAACAGAAAGCATGTTTCTCAGCCTCATAAAGAATTAAATAATTTCTGGTGCTTCTGTTTATCACTCAGATGACAAAACCTTTATATGTTCAAAGACAAAGAATGCAGTTCATAGATTGAAATGGGGCTACAGGCTATTAAATGTTTCATCAGTCTACCGTTAATCTCATTCTTTTGTATTCAGTCTTTTGTTGGATTTTAATGACAACACATATCTACATTGTAATTAATCTGCAAGGAAACAGAACTTAGATTTAATTGATCAATAAAGCTACAAGCGTATATCTAATATTATTTTATTGAAACTGCAGGAGATAATCTGTTTTCATTCTTCCAACTAGAAATAAGAAGTTCAACATGCAGATTATGTTTATAAGCTAACTTTTAGAGTCAATATACATTTTAAGACAATACTATGTCAGTGCCATGGAACCAATGCAACTCATATTTTCCATTGTTATTTTCCACTGTAAAATTAGATTTACAAGTCAGTTCTGTAATGAACAGTACCAGTGTAATATTATACAATATTCATTCATTTGTCCACGCATGAATTGTAGCTTGTATATCTTAAGATTTCTTTGTTATTTCTATATTTCACTATCCCAAAGCAATCTGTAGTGACAGCCATGCTTGCCGGAGAATTCTGAGAGTTACACACAACTGGAAAGTGCCCTGATTGGGAAAGGCAGCTCTTGCTATCTACCTATCCCATGACAGGTGAATATTTACTCTCAAACTGGAATTCGCATATTCAGGGTTCAGAAAGGCAATGAAGTGTGGGATCTTAAGGCAGCTACATTCTTGAAAATTTTTCATCTGGTCTCCAACCACCCTTAAGGGGGAGAGGTTGTGGAGAAGGTTGGACTGCAGCTTCAGAGGGTCCTGTAGGAAACAGATTATCTGGACCCTTTTCAGTCAAATTTCAGGCTGGAATATAGCAATGAGGGAACAATGTTTCCTCTTGTGGATAGTCTCTGGCAGGTTCAGGATGGATTAGGCAACTCTCCTGGTCCTTCTTAACCTCTTATTTGATCATGCTATCCTTCTGGACTGATTTGGGGGTTTGGGAGTAGAGACGCTGTTTCTCGGTGGTTCTCCTATCTCCAATATCCGGTTGTATATTCTAACTCCTAGCTGATAAAGTGATGCTATGGAAGTGATTTCTCAGTGCCTGGAGGCTGTTAGTGTCTGGATGGGAAGAAATAGCTTAAGCTCAACCCTAGCAAGACTGAGTGATTTTGGGTTTATGGATTGGCGGTGCCTGGAGATTTTCGATTTGTGGTCCTCAGTCCATTTAGTTCTCTTTTTCCATTTTAGTCCTCAACTTCCTATACAGAATCAGTATAGGAATAAATATTTAGCAGTTCTTGCAAAAAGAGTAAGTAGTAGCCTTGATCAGGGGGGCTTTTACACAAACTCATTTCATGCAGCGGTTGCATCCTTTACTGGATTGGCAGACCTTACTTATGGTTACTTATGCTTCAGTCATCTTGTCCTTGGATGTAAAATGCTTTACATGGGATTGCTCTTGGAGACCACTCAGAAGTTACAGCTGGTCCAGAATGTAACTGCACAAACAGTTAAGGGTGTACCCCAATATGCTAAGTAACACTTTTATTCCCCAAGGTACACTAGTTACCGGTGGGTTTCCAGGTGCAGTTCAAGGGGCTAGTTATCATTTATGAAGTTCTACATGGCTCTGAGCTTGGTTATCTATGGGATCACCTTTCTCCTGTTGCCTCTGCCCATCCTATAAGATCTGGCAGGATAATCAGTGCCATCTTGTGAGATCCTGGAGGCGTGTCTTTTCTGTCACCACTCCTGCCCTCTGGAATGCCATTCTCCCAGAGGTTTGTCAACCCCATCCTGCTCTGCTTTAGACAGTGATTGAAAATTTGGCTTTTCAAAAAGGACATGAGCTGAGGTATTTTGTAATTCTGCCAAGTCATGACTGGTGAGGGATGGCTGAAATAGTTTTTATGTGCTTTCCCATAGCTCTCATTTCTATACCTTTTTCATTTTGACTGTTCTATTGAGTTTTTAATATAAGTAGCCTTGACTCTTTCTGATTTGGAACCATACAAGTCAAATAAATAAATCAATATACAGAGATAGGTGAAAAAGGGCAATTTCTAACTCTTCATCTATTCTGGAACTAATAGCTCTTTGGGTTACTTGTAGGAATACATATGAGAACATACAAATTCCATCTTTGTTCTTTGGTCCTAAAAACACCAAAGAACATTTTAGTTTCATTTTGCTTTCATCCTTTTCTTTTTTCCCAAGTTTCCATGGATTTTGATAGAAATTTTCATTTTGTAAAAGCCATTAATTCTACAACTTTTTGTAGTTTTCTTTATGTGGCCTGCTATGGGGAGAGCATCTTGAATAGGAACATGATTTTGGACTAGAAAATTGGAACATCTTGAAAAAAATCTTTCCTTTCCCACTCCCAGTTACAGTACGGCTAGCCCACAGAGACTGGTCATTAATCACCCACATGTTTTAACTTAGTCATATTAGGGAATTCATTTTTCCCAGGAAAAGAAAAGAAAATATATTATGTCTCTTTACGCAGAAATATGTAGCAACTTTGGTTTATAGTTTTTTAAATAGTAATTTTAATGAAAAGTTACAATTAAAAAGATAAAAACTAAAACTAAAAAAAAGAGAATAAAAAGAAAAAATAGGAAGTGCAGAAATGAAAAAATAGAAAAATAGAAAAGAAAGAAAAATAAGAATGAAGAAAAAGAAATGAAATATATAAAGAAATGACTGCCCCCTTCATCGCAACAAGTTCAAACAATTTTAGTAGCTTATCACCTTCTCTTAAAATACAACAAATAATCCCTTCTTCCCATATCCCATCTCTTATCTATAAACAAATCCTTAAAGCCTTGTCGTTCAGTCCTGATCAGCAAAAGTTCATTAAGGGTTACCAAAGATAATAACATATCTTTTAACCTTGATCAGATAAACCAACTTTACATTCCTTCCTTTTCCTTTTAGCAATCTTGATCTTTAGTCCCTTCAAATAATATCCTAGAACTTGATTTCTTTTCATTTTTTC